CTCCCACTACATCCTCCAGACCATCCCAGAAGATCTAATAAGATTCCATCTGGGAAATCACTAGGAGTTCTTAGAAGGGAAAGAAGGAAGATTATGTAAGTCAATGGAATTGTTTCATCTCACACAGCATAAAAACAATAGAAGACTATATGTATGTTTATCTTACTAGGCCTCCCTGCTGCGTTTTACATTGTAGATTATCTCTTACCCTTCTCGAATCTCTCAACTACTTTGGCTTCCAAAGTAACATTTTCCTAATTCTCCTATGGCTACTCTTTAAAATTTTGTTTCATTTGTGCATTCTTTCTCTGCTCACCCTTTAAATATTTTTCTTCCTTAGGTTTTCCAGAATTCCGTACTTGAAATTTTTCCTCTGTTCTCCCCAAATGATTGTGTTGGCTCTCATAGCATGCCAGTTATGTGATGGTTACTCTCAGACCTCCATTTCTGACTCTTGAGCTTTCAAGTCCTATGTTTAACTGCTCACCTCGCATGCAGTGGGCTCGGTACTGAACTTCTTTCCCCTCTAATCCATTTCCTCCCTCTGTAGATGCAGTCTCATTTGGTGATAATACTAATGACCTAATCACTCATCCTCAAAACCTGGGAGTCATCACTGATATCTCCCTCACCAGTTTTTCACCTCCAGCAGGCAATCACCATGGTATTATGTACCAGTTCTTGTCTGTTCCCAAAATATTCTGTGTCTATAACTGTCATTATATTAACCTTGCTGTTTTATAATTGTCACTTTAGATATTTGAATCCCTAGCACCTACCATATTACCTATCCTGTAGTAGATATGCAATAATATATAATGACTAACCAAATAGATTAATGAATGGATGAATTATCTATGTTCTATCATTTCATTGCAGATTCCAAACTAAGCCTTAAAAATCACTGCTTTTATTAATTCATTAATTACCCAGGCTTGAAATTGTAGGGCCCTTTTACTCCTTGGTCTCCTTCAGTTACTATGTTCTTCAATATAAGCTCTGTATTCTTCACTTTCTCTTTAACTTTCATCACCATAGGTCAGGCCTATCTGGACTTACACAAGAACCTTTACTATTACTCATTTTGCCCCCAGTCAACTAAATTAATCTTCGGTATGTCATTTTGTCATTTCTCCTGCTCATGAGTCTTGAATTTCAACGCCACTCCCTTTTATAGTTTCTTCCCCATTTAATTCCTTTCTCTAAAATTATATTCCTATCTTTTGAGTGACATCAAAAAACTAATTTATGGGCAGGTCTGATAAACAGTTGTGTGGGGTGAAAGTAGTAGGTGGTAGTGAGGATCAGAGAGAGGGGAAGGAGGCAAAAAACCACTTATAAAGAGTCCTGAAATAGGATTTGAAATCTAAATTCCAAGAGATTTAGAGTGTATTATGTTCTGATGGGCCTTTATATGAAGCATAGTTTAAGGTCACCATAAAAAACAACCAAGTAAAATACTTTATATATTACAGTGGTTGGAATAAAAACAGGGTTGAATGAGTTCCAGAAAGCAGGCTTCTCAAACTCGTGGACAACAATCTGCAGAGGAAGACAACTTCAAAAAACC